TAACTAACTACAAGTATACATGTATGTGGTGTGTGCGTGCGTGCGTGCGTGTGTGTGTGCTTACCCCCCACAGCTATGCACATTTCTACATCGGTACATACGTGTATGTATACATACATGAATATACACGTATGTGTGTACATATATGTGTGTATGTATGTATGTATGTATGTATGTATGTATGTATGTATGTATGTATGTATGTATATATATATATTATATATATATATATATATATATATGCAAGTGGCACGTGTGTGCCCAGGCTCATACAACAAGCTGAAGGGGCGTTTGAAACAGGAGTGACATGCAACAGCGAAGTCGCACTCGAGCGCAAGTGGGGTTGCCACACCTTGCGATGTGTGTACCAGGGCCCCCCAGGAAGCCTCAGGAGGCCCGACTTGGATACCAGAAGAGGCTCCAGGAAGCCCCAGGATTGTGAGTGTTGTGTGTGTGTGATGTGTGCTTTGTGTGGTGCGTGCTTTTTGTGTGTTGTCGGTGTTGTGTGTGTATGTTATGGTTGTCTAGCGTGTGATGTGTTGGGCGTGATTTGTGTCTCTGTGTGCGCATGTAGTTCTGAAGCCCAAGGAGGCCCCAGGAGGCCCCAGGCGGCCTCAGCAGGGCCAGGAGAACTCCAGGAGGCTCCGAGGCACCAGGAGACCCCCAGGAGGCACCCAGGAGGCTCCGAGGAGGGGTCTGGGGCTCGATTTTGGGAGGATGTCTCAGGCGAAACCGCCATTCTCTGAGAATTGGGGTCAAAATTATTGAAATTACCATGTGGTTTTGAAGGTTTTATGTTAACATGTTGAAATTCCCATGTGTTTTTGGACCCTGACGTCACGAGCTGCGTGAGGGGTGCCACCGATTTTCAGAATTTCGAGGATGTCCCGAGCGAAACGGCCAGAAAAATCGCGGACGACGTGAGCATTAATCGCATCTGAGCTCTATTCCATCGGAGAGGTGCGTATAGGCGATTGAGTAGAGCTCAGATGCTATTAATGCGCACGCGTCCGCGATTTTTCTGAGCGTTTCGCTCGGGACATCCTCGAAATTCTGAAAATCGGCGGCACCCCTCACGCAGATCGTGACGTCAGGGTCCAAAAACACATGGGAATGTCAACGTTTTAACATAAAACCTTCAAAAACACATGGTAATTTCAAT